TTTTATCCAAAGTAGGAAAAATTAGACAGTCTTTTATTATTAAAAATTGTTGTATTACAAACTATATAAAATGTTCAACTTAATATTTTTTAAGGCAAAATGAAATCGTGTATTCCTGTCGATTTAATATCTATTTAAAAAATTTAATTTTTGTTACGATAATATAAAACTCTGAGATATATAAGACTAACTGATCATTGTGTCGGTAGCGGAAGTTGTCATAACGGATGTATATTGAATGTATTTGATCAGGTTGTCCACTGTGGACCCCTTTTCCCGTCGGCATCCTCTGCGACAGGATCCGTTTTAGACTAGAAGATTGGACGAAAGGAATGGGGGTACGTTTTGTTTTAGTATTTTAGTATGTCTCCGCATGGGAAACACATGGAAACAGGATCCTCATACAGGATCCGCATAATCTCTGTTCTGCAGATTTTACAATAACATTTGAACTGGTCAAAAAAAAAGGACAGAGAAACCTCTTAAAAAAATCTCCAATTGCTTCGCTTTGAAACTGACATGTTAATATCTGTAACTTTCAAAATCACATTCGTTATTTCAATACTGTAGAATCAGTAATGATTTGAAATGTAATGTTTAATATAAATATATCAACGTATTTAAAGATAGAAAAAAATTAAAAATTTTCAAATAAAGCAAAAGAAGAAAACTATTAAATAAATGAACTGTCACTGAAGTAAATGAATTGATTATTGATTAATTAAGATTTATCTTGCTTTTTTACGGATCAAAGATTCTCTGCCGCGTAACACAATCCGTTGAGGTTGATTTCTCAAACAGGGATGTATAACAAGACAAGACGCTCTCACCATTCTTTCTCTTCACTCTCGTCCAGATGACTTCCGCTACCTGCTCACTTCAGTGTGTCCGTCCCGTTTGTCCGAAACGCCCCACGCGTGTTCGTGGGAACCTCGAAATAATTATTACGAAGAAAAAGAATCTCATCTCAGATTGCAGCCTCTTTTGTTGACCGTATCATCTTTAAGGATCCAGCTCCGGTCCGCGACGACGGTGCGGATCAGCGAAAAAAGGGGAGATGCGCAACGCCTCTGCTTTCTTTTTTTGTCAGTCCTTTAACAGGTGCCATTTCTCCGCTCTTGAGTCTTGGGTGTCAAATTCACTCGCGGGAAAATCGATATCTGCGATATTTCTCTCATCCTACGCAATATATTATTCTTGTTATATTTTTGCAAATAATTTATTGGCACGGCTGGTTTTACGTATATAATTTTATTGCATTTCTTAAAAGTCAAAATGCTATGTACCAAATCATAAGGCATTTATATGTGTAAATGATCTTATATCGACTCCCACGCTCATTCTTTAAGTGATCGCAAATTTACCATAAAAATGCGAACGTCGGGATGATCCGACAGGATAAGGTTCAAAGAATTGAGAGGATACAATGGACCCTTGAAAAAGAGGACCATACTACTATTGAGGTATTGGTGGTTAAAGGGCTGATGGGAATTTCTACGGCATAAGCTCGATTCGGGGAAGGTCACGTTCATCAGGATATCTGAAAAAATCCGCTTCGTGATATTTTCGAATCGTTTCCCACGATTGAATTGATCGTTCATAAGTGGCAAATTATTTAAGAGTAATTTTATTTAGTAACCTTATTTTATATATTAACGATTTAATTTAAAAATTAAAATAATAATGAACACACAATAAGTAATAAAATAATGCATTATTTCATATATATATATATACAGTATATAAATTTATTACTTTATATATTCATATATAATATATGTATGAATTATTATATACGATATGTTATAATGTATACATATGTATACAATTCACATTCGCTTATCGATAGATTATTCCATAATGGCATGTTTGTGAGAGATAAACGTCCCTAAGCAATTCACGCGTGACTTGAATAAAACGATTGTTAATGATCTATTGCATGCAGTTTATAATAAAAAAAATCTAGGAGAATGTGTGTGAGAACAGACGTCCTTAGGTGCCCTTAGGCACTAACTATAAAATAGGCTGCATTAGCTACTGTAGTTGCTAGACTGTTATTACGGTAACAGTTCACATCAAGTCAATTATATGGGCGTATCGCGTATCATACTATACATTTCTTCAATAGAGGATCGATGTCGAAGAATTCTTCTTCTGACAAGAAGCCAATTCCTCGGATATAGTTACTGATCTTTGAATAAGAAGAAATCTCCCATTTTATATCCCTTTTATTGTAATATCCCTTTTACCGTACCTTTATTGCCGACTAACTTCCGTAGATAACATAGAGCTCTTTCAGTACCGATGCACGTTATACTTTCTAACTTCTCGACCGAAAGGTCATTTAGGTCATTTCAAGGTCATTCTTTTTCTATCCAAATATGTTTAATGGATAATATAATAATATACACAATTTGTTTTTGTATTATTAATTATTATATCAATAATTCATATTGTGACTTTTATCATTTTTGCTTGTTATAGCCAACTAGGCACTCGAAGCTCGAGAAAGCCGATATCCTCGAAATGACGGTGAAGCATATACAAACGATGCAGCGGCAGCAATTGAGTACCGCCGTCGCCAACGATCCGGTGGTACTAACGAAATTCCGTTCCGGATTTTCCGAATGTGCTACCGAAGTATCACGATACATCAACCGCCTCGAGAACGTCGACCCTGCCATCAAGCAACGATTGGTATCACACTTGAACAATTGCGTGAGCCATCTCCAGCAAATGGCGCCATTCTACAGCCAGTACGTGCCCTACATGCCGGAACGTCTCTATCCGGAGGTAAAGGTTGGTTTCCAGAGCGATTTCCAGAATGGGGATGAGAATAACAACGGTAGCGCGAGAATACAGATACCGAATGGAGTCCAATTGATTCCGAGTCGACTGCCAACGGGCGAATTGGCATTCTTGGTGCCGCAATCCGCCGGGATCTCCGCGAATTTTCCCTTTTTTCCACCAGCTACGGATACATCTACAAGGATCGGTCAATCGTCGGCTTTTACCGCCGTTCATCGGCCACACACCCCATTACTAAGCCCTTCGACTTCCACGTCGAGTTACGGCGATGAGAGTCATCATTCGGAACATCCACGGGCGACGACGCCTAACCATCATCAGCCGCAACATCAATTCAAATTACCCGAACAGAGTCCTGCGTCCTCAAAGAGCTTCTCATCCTCGCCAGAAACCCAGAAACCGCAAATTAGCTCGACTAGTGACCGAAAGTCACCCGCAACGACATTCTTGGAATCTAAGGTCGTGGATAATAATGTTGCAAATAAAAAAGACGTTGCGGAAAGTTTGGACAATGCCACTCATACGAATGGTACCATAATGCACGGTTTGCGACAGCCGCTTTCCGTAATTACAGACAAGACTTACAATCGCGCCTCGAGTGGCTTGCTGCTCAAGAGAGACGGTTTCAGAAGACGTCATTCCGACGGGCTTTTGGCGATCTCAGATAAGAGACCAAGATATCAAGAACCCACTAGTTCGACCTCCTCGATGAATAATACCGACGTGCTTAAGAGCACAAATGAGCAATCTTCCGCAATTCCTACCCAAGATTTGCCCGGAAGTCAGAATTGTCAGACACCACGAAATTGCAATGCAAATTCCGATAACTTCCCAGCAAGCTCAGCAGGTTCTTTTGCTACTAACGGCGATATGTGGAGACCCTGGTGATCGTTATTGCTAAAAATGAAAGATTAAAAATATTACGAAATTGAACAATTATTTTGGAAATATTTAACAAAAGGCGAATTAGATGTATTTTCTAATTAGAAATTATCAAATTATAATTGATTAGCGAGAGCGTGCCATGAAAATATCATTTTACATATTTTGGAAATTGGTTTCGGTTTGCATAAATCACAGAAATAATCAAGAAAACAGAATTTTTGTGTGATACATATTATGTATTTCTTGTTAAACTCGGTATTTTGAAATATCGTAAGTAATTCTAGTAAATTAAAAAATAGTTTAAAGATAAACAAGCTCACTTTAATGATGATAAGGCGATTTCGTGCGTGAAATTGATTATATATTTTCTGAGTAAGTACTGTTAATGTACTTGATGCATCATTATGCATCTTCGCCATTTCGTAAAGACTCATAAGCTTTAAATAGATTAAACAATATTTTGTTAAGTCTGTCACAACGCGTAATATGTGAATAGCTCTGTATATATTTCCATTTATTATTTAATTAATTAAACCTGTCTCTTATAAATTATAATATTACGTAAATCAATATTATACGAGTGATGACTATTTTCAATGATCTGCGATGTCTAACGATGGTCAGTATTGTTAATTAACACGTTTACTGTTACAAAGATCTTAATGTACTCCGCAAAAAACAAATTAAATGTCACATAATTTGATTTTAAGGTAAATTTTTACAAATTTTTCTAATTAAGTCAGTTCCATAATATACACTGTTAGAAATGTAATCACGAATTTCCTTTACATGTAAATGAAGCTCATGGTTAAATTTAAGTTACAGTTATCTAAATGTAATAAACGTGTATATTAAATTTATGAAATTTAATGTATTTTTCATAAAATTTTGTGAAAAGTATATTAAAAATCATAAATTTTCATGAAAAATACATTAAATTTCATGTACACAAATGTACTTTTCAGTTATAAATACATCAAATACATTAAATTTAATATAATGTCATGAAATTAAGTTCAAATTGTGTAACTTAAAAGTATATTAAATTTCATGAAATTTTTAATAGGGTATAGAATTTTCTATATTTTGTTAATTGCGTTTTATTTGTATATTAATATGATATATTAAAACATTAAAGTGGCGACTATCATTCGTGGCATTCAACGTGTTAAAATAATGTAAAGAGTTTGTGATAAAAAAATATAACATTGAAATACGATCTTGAAAAAGACACGATGTTTATTTCTTATTTTTTATTATTGCATGTACAATACATTCGTCGACAAAATAAATAAATTTATAGAATGGAAACCAACCTCATTGTAAGTGTTACAATTCTATCTCGCAAAAAAGCTCCTACATATTCTACCAATATTCCACGATCTACCATATTCCACGATCTCGTAAAAGCACGGAAATTTTCCTCGTTGAAAGAGCCATCGGAGGCGCTTTACCCTTTTAAGGAGCGTTAAACGCGCTCCGATTCATAAACTGGAACTTATTCTTTCCTTTTTTGCCGATAAAGGAGCAAAAAGCTGTGGAGAATGAGAATTTCAACCACCTGTTACACCGCAAAACCACCCGCGTTCTCATCGACTGAATGCTTAAACTGATTTATCGACAGAAATCGCAAACTTTGTAAATTCCCTTAGTCTTATTCTTAGAGCGCACATACTTATGTTTAAAAAAATTTTAAATTATTGCTTACTGATACAGAGATGATCAAACAATACAGTCGATTACGCAACCGGAATGTATAACAAAAATATACCCAAAATTTACGAGGAATTCGAACGATTTAACAAATCATTGCAAATTTAACATTTGTTTTATCTGGCTGATTTAAATAGTCATAAATATGTAGTTGTCGCTGTGACATAGTATTATTTACAACCAGTTTTAACGTATTGAAATCCTGTACAAGTTCGAGCATTGACAGTGAGATGGCGACACATATATTTGAGATTAATTCATATTAAATTTTTTACTCTCAAACGCAATCATCAAAGAATGCCTGTAAATTATGACATTACGAATTTTCATTACATTTTCATCGCAAATAAATCTAATTTGCTAGAAATCGAAACATAAAATTAACAGAACGTTTCTAACATTTGTTGATTAGTTTTATATTGAAACGAACAAAATTACAAGTAAAAACTAAAAAAAGGAGGTATTAGCTTATCTGCTTGTAAAGTATTTTGTATTACCATGTATATTTTTAAAACCGATATTACTTAAATATCATTAAAGTTGATATAATTAACTATGGCAATAAATAATTAACTATGGTAATAAAATGTTTTGTATAATTTCAAATACTTCAATAGGGTACAAACAATGCTACTTTCATTAAAGATTATTGTATTCATTTTTTTAATATAAGGAAAACGAAATTAAAAGGAACAGCGAATTTTATTTTAGTTTCTTTCTTCGATCCTTGTGTGACGGGGTATCGTCCAACGTTGCGCGAGGCATCGAAGTCGCCGATTCGTTCGCTTAAATTCGGGTTTAATATCACACACTCTGCTCGTCCCTTTTCGATATTCACGTGCACAATGGGCCTCGATGTCGGTGTATATATAGATTCTGGCTGTGAGTAACTCCCGTACACTATATCACGAGTATAAATAATTACTCCGGCGCACAGCAATTACTATAAGTTATGGCGCGGCCGCTACAATTTGCAATGTCAAGACATAAACACTGCTACCGCTTACATTTGAATACATTAAGACGATGGGAGTCTCTGATTGGACTGACGGGAAGTGGTGCGGTCCCGTATCGGTATGTGAGCTACGATCTGGTGGTTGACGATTTTTATTGAGGAAACGATCATCTCGCGGGTCTCTCCCGGCAATCATGGCCGTTGCTATTGCAGTCGCAAGTTGCCGCTTGATGGATCTCCATTCCCATTCCGTTCGCGAGCACACGTTAAAGTGGATCTGCGATTTTTCATTGATATGTTGAAGTATTTACGGGACGACAGAGATCTATTCTCGTACAATTGTCTTATGATAATCCGTGGATCTTACGTTCGTGATAGATTGCACGATTACAGAGCCCAATATGTACCTCGTTTTTTTTCTCAATTTGGATGTTTATCGCGAGAATGGAAAAATGAACGCAACGATTGACAATGAAGAGTCTTATGCTTACCCGACGGCGGATCTCTTAAACGTTGAGTTGACAGTCCAATTAACCTTTAGAGGACGAAGATATATTTTTAAAATCTTACAGCTTTTTCTTGAGTAAGATTTACAATAATTCATTATTTCATTCCTTGTCTCAAAATATAACACTATTTCAGAGCCACTCAATCTATAGCTTTCTTCATTCTGTAAAGGTTAAAAGTATAGAATAGCGAAGAAGTAGATGCTAATTTTTGTCTAAAAAAAAATTGATGATCTCTTCATGCCAATCTGTAATAAATTTAACATTCCAAGTTGTTTGATACAAGCATATTGCGAAATTAGACATATCATAATCTACCATTCGCTACGGCGAATGATGTAAATGCATAGCGTGCAACGCTAAAGATCTATAAATCACAGGGAGCAATCGCGAATCCGCGATAGCGGTGAGAGAAAACCTATAGCCGCATGCTCGCAGCTCTATTCTCTATTACCAGAATCAAGTTCGAAACAGCTTCCCAGACCAAACCATGATCTTGCCGGGCAACTCATCGATCGGTTGAAAAAACGATCGTCGAAAGCCAACCGAGTGCATAGGCTGTTTTCGTTGCGGTATACGACCAGACGCGAGTGCCTCCGGACGGCGGATATAGCAATCGCCGAGTGTTTTTCGCGAGTAGTTATATTTCGATGGGTATCCGATCGCAAAAGAGAGAGGAAACGACGCCGGGTGCCGACGCGCGAAGGGTAAGGGGGGAGGGGGATGATGGAGGCGGAGGTTCCGTCCGCGCGTATGTGCGGCCGCCAGGCCATTTGCCTCTGCGGTCTCTTGATTCCTAGCGACTAAATTTTCATCTGTACTCATTCAAGTTTTAATGTGTTTTTGCGGCATCAGTCATTCAAACTTAATCAACAACCGGTTACACGTCGGTGCGCGAGCGCGACCACACAGATTCGCGCGGCGTCGTCGGTACAGGCGGTAGAGGCGGTAGAAGCATACGCGGGGTGGCCGCGTGGCGCGGCTCGCGAGTGTGTAGGTGTGCGGGCGCGACGGAATATTGGTCGGGCGCACTGTGACGAGAGCGTATTAATTATAACTCTGGTCAGAGGAACGTCAAGAGATGCTTTCGCAGATACCTACGATAAATTGTCGGTTTACCAGCAAATCTCATTTCCAAACCCCGCCATTTTTCCGCTCGTTTATCCACGCCCATTGGGAGAGCACCGCGCGCTACGGCGCGCTCGGCCAACGTCGCGGTATTCCCTTCCTTTCACGTGTACACACGTGTGTATATCCGGCCGCAGTGCACGACTGTCGCGTGCACAAGAGTGCGATGACAGCGGAAGGGAGAGCGTTTTTACCCAATAAAGTTGGTGAGCGTAATAGGAATGTCGGCATTAACGAGTTCATTCGGCGCTTATCGGGCATTGCCGGTCTGCGACGTGTCATGATAAGGTTTTATTCATTTTGAAATCCATAGAATATCTTGCGTATGTTTTTCGTGCGATTATTAATCGCGTCAGAGCGCAGAAATTACCCGTGACGTCAAAATAAATTATACCATTTTAAATAATATTAGATTTATCAAGAAATTGTCGAAATTTTCATATCACAAAGTCTTACGAAAATATTTTATCTTGAAAAAAGATCTTCTCATGTATATATAAATGTAATTTAATTAATTAAATCATTTTAAATTTAAATGTAATATTGCAATACATTGCAGTTTACGTGCTCAATGTATTACAATACGGTTACCACGTTGAGAAGGAAAAAAAAAGATGGAACTAAACCACGCAATTAATTGGCCAATTTCCAAACATTCTTTGTAAACCTCAGTAACGAAGTTTTGTACGATACACAGTACCGAATTAGCTAAACGTAGCGGAGAAGTGTCGGTGCAAGTAGTCCGAGAGACATTTATTTGGCTGTCTCCG